TGTTGGATTATTTTTAATTTCGTTTGAAGAAGCGAGTGGAAGGGATTCATAAATTGGTTCCACTGGAGGCTGTGGGGGGTTGCCTTGGAGCTGTTGTTGTAGATTTGTGCGAATAGGTCCTCGGCGCACCGCCCTTCGACCAAGATGAATCATTGCTGATATATCGTCCGTTATGTGACAGAACAGAAGACCATGGTTAACGATATTTTACCAAAAACAATAAGGCAAGAAGGGTGGCTGGCTTTAAACCTACTTCCTTCTTATAGCCAAACTTGGTCCACTTAAGCATCTCATGTTTTGGTTGGATATCCTATGCTTTGCCTATATGTTTGGACTATAAGAAGGAAGTAGGTTTAAGCCGGCCACCCTTCTTGCCTTCGTTTTTTTGGTGAATTATCGTTAGCCATGTTGTCCTGCTCTGATGATGTCCGTCACATGAGGAACGAAAGTTCAGCAAGGATTCGTCGGGATCGCAGGGCGGTGTGCCGACGATTTATTCACACAAATCTCCAACTACAGCTCCAAGGCAATCCCCTAGGCCTCAGGTGGAACCAATTTATGAATCCCTTCTACTCGTCCCTTTAAGCAAAATGAAAAGTAATCCAGCATCAATCTATTAAGTGATTTTTCGAAACCCAGTTTTTTCTAGATAATCTGCTATGTCTTTATCCAAAAATATTCCATATATGTCCCCACCTTAACTCCTTAGCATCAAATTCATTCAACTCGGCTTCGGCTTCTCCTGCAGCCAGCTGCTCTCCGCTGCCTAACAGCAAGCGATGACCGACAAGCGGTGAGGCAGATTCAGCTGGCGATGACTCAAGAGCCACGGATGTTGCACAAATGCCTGTATCAACAGTGTCGGAGACGACTCCATGAGTGTTACTCGAGGGACCAGACAATGATGTCGTAGAAGAGAGACGGAGGCTGGGTGGAATTGAAGCAAGCGAGGGGTGATTTTGAGTGCTGTTACTGGAGGCACTGGTTGCGATGGTAAAGCTGGGGAGCAGTGAGGGCATGATATGTCTTTCTGATTTAGAGGCTTCGATGATAGGCTCTACAGGTGATTGAGGATATCCAAGTGCCGAGTGCTTAGGATCATGGGAAGAGGAGCTTCTTGGAGAAACATGGACGCGAAAGCTAGTAAAGAGTTAAAGTAGGATGGATAAGATATAGATCCGTCCGTTAGATAAAAACCATCGCTGAAAACAGCATATAGAAAGAAGTATAAGTTTATTACGCTATAAAGGTTCATGTGAGTAAATCCAAGCCAATCTCAGTAGGGATTATAAGAGAGCTGAGTAGCTCGTTTTGCCAATAACATGAAATCCAGCGACAAGTGAAGACGTTTGAAACTATCACCAATTTGTTTAAGTCTATTATTTCTGACTGAGGGCAAACATTTGCTACAAATCTTGGAACTCGCAGTGTAAATTTATCGATAAATACAAAAGGAAGAAATTAAACAATATTGTTTGGAAATTCAAGACGAAAGATAAGGACATTTCTGGATTTCCATCAAGCTTGTCAATAGGTTTGAGTATAATTAGATAACATTTGATTGTATATACAAAGGTTTTTAAAATCCAGCGGAAGATATGAATGCAAAAAAACAAATTAAGACGAAGGAATATCCTCAGGTAAGTAAAAGTCTAATTTGTTTTTTTCACAAACTAAAATGATCTCGTATAACAGATGTACAGGTAGTCTCGAAAGCCTACTTATAAACAAAAAATGATATCCACAATTTACATTTTAAAGAGAAGGCATCAATACAAACACTTTATATTATATTGGTTGTTCCAGTTAGTTAGATCTTTAGTTATAGATCTTTTAGAAAATTTATCCTTCCGGAGTGGACTAGAGTAATTTAATAATTTTAAATATTTCCCTAATGCTAATTCAAGTTATGGTTAAATATGACTAAATGCTTACTCGCATAAATCGAAACTGTTTATATAATTACAAATCTAAAAATGCATAAGAAATATACACAATAAAATAATCGGAATAGGTCAGGCCGCAAAATAAATTGTTTCGACAAATCTTGTGCAAAATCTATGCAGACTAAGGCTTATACTTTTGGAATTTGTTTTATTGACATAGAAGCAAAGAATGAAGCATAATTTGGTCAGGAAATAAAATGTTAAGATAGTATAATGCTTAACTAAATCCATCCTCTTAGATATAAAAAAGTGTTAGTCGCAGATAACTAAATAGAAATACGATTTCAAAGAAATTAAGTAAAGATTATTATGATTTTATGATGAACATCAATGATTTGCTTCGCCGTTAGTGTAAAGAATCCAAAGTAAATAGATAGTTACAGCATAAAATCCAGGCGGCGTGTTGTTACTGAATACGAAGTCGCAACATTTGCAGAATGATTCATGTATAGGTTCCTATGAGTAGCGATTTCATGCAAACGGTTGAGATTCTTGCATATTGTGAGAGCAAAGAGCTTCAAGGAATTTTAACATAGTCTTGTACTAGCATAAAAGAAATAACACCAAATTACAGGAAAGCATAAAGAACGTATTAGTGGTGAAAAAAAAGCAAAATTAACTTGATCCAAAGAAAAGCACGGCTTAATAAAGAAATGCCTGTGTAGTTTAATGTACATATAAAATTACAAAGATAAGATAATTCTGCAATCCTATGGAATGTAGATTTATCTCAAATCGAGCAAATTAAATACAATCATAAAACTTTCAAAAGTAAGAAAAATAGTTAATTAAACTGTGATATTGCTGGCATGAACTAGAGCGAAGGGTTTCTTTAGAAAACAAGAGAAAAATGCTACGCTTCAAGAATTTATCACGGACAGGTTACTTAGATCATTTAGGTAATCAATAAAGACACTCTTCTATAAAAGCTGACTAGGTAATTATGTATAAACCTGATGATTACAATCGAAGGCTCCGAGCAAGTGAAGTAGTTAGACAAGGATAGTTTGATCGAAAAAGATAAAATCGAAAAGATATTGTATATGTAATGTATAAAAACTGGGTTTTGAAAAATTCCTTATTAAATTGATTTTGGGGTACCTTTCGTTTCCTTTGAAGAGGCAAGAAAGGATTTGTAAATTGGCTTTACCGGAAGCTGCAATGGGAGTGCGGTTTGAAGCCGTGGCTTTAGATTTGTGAGAATAAGACTTCGGCTCACCGCCCAGCGACCCCGATGAATCCGTACTGATCTTTTATCCATCATTTGACAGAGATCATCTGAGCAGCACACCATGCTTAACGATTATCCACCTGGACATGAAGACAAAGTGGCCAGATTTAATCCTACCAACTTGGTCTACTTAATGAGGCGTTTGATATCCTTTGCTTTGACTAAAAGTTTACTGAAAAGTTAAGTGGCTGCGGATGGCATGTGAGTGGCTGGAGATGAATCGTGAACCGGATGCAATTGTTACCGAACAGTTGTATCCTTCAATGTTACAACATGGGATTGTGTTCAATTCCTCGCGTGCGATCTAAAGTGACGCTCTTCACACGAAATGAATTCCGTGCTGTAAACTGGCACTTAAAAATGGAGAATTCCTAATGGATCATTGTTAGAAAACGACTACGAGAGAACAAAATATAAAAGCCCAACCTAAACTGTTTCTCAGTTAATTTCAAAAGTGGCGTTCCAAGGCTGGATGAGGAAATATGACCCAAAAGAAAGAGCATAAGGCAAAAACTCAATAGTGCTGGTTGGTAGATCCCCAGATATCCCAAATGACGACAATCATTAATTTCGATATCCATAAGTTTTTTTGACGGCTGATGAATGAATTGAATTAAGGCTAAATATAGCAATAATTGTATTTATTTCTTAAAACTAGAGAGGTTT